TCCACCAGGCATCATGTTATTTCCATATAATGATGATGATCCACCAGGCACCATGTTGTTACCATATGATGATAATGATCCACCAGGCATCATGTTGTTACCATATGATGATGATGATCCACCAGACATCATGTTGTTTGCATTTGATGATGATGATCCACCAGGAATCATGTTGTTACCATATGATGATGATGATCCACCAGGCATCATGTTGTTACCATTTGATGAAGATCCACCAGGCATCATGTTGTTACCATATGATGATGATGATCCAGACGATTTAGTATCAACATAAGATGATTCACCACCGTTACCGTAAGATGATACACCAACAGGTTTCATACTACTACCAAATGATGATTCACCACCATACGATGTTGATCCAACAGGCTTCATGGCACTACCAAATGATGTTGATTCACCACCATAATTGTTATTATTACCATATAATGATGAGCTAGCAGTTTTGCTTGTATCAACATAGGATGATTCACCACCATAGTTGTCATTTCTATTGAATAATGATGAGTCAACCGATGCGATGTTGCTACCATCAGATGATCCACTACCGTAGTTGTTGTTGTTACCGAACAATGATGAGACAGTAGATGTTACGGTATCACCATTGGATGATCCACTACCAGTGTTGTCAGTATTACTGTATGATGATGAGCCGACAGATTTTGTAGTATCAGTGTCGAATAATCCACCACCATATTTTTCATTGTCACCATATGATGATCGAAAGTTACTATTTGTATTATATGGTGATGCACCGTAGTTGCCACGATCAATTGAACTATCTTGTGCTGATGAAATACTATTGAAGTCGTAGCTAGAACTACCAGGTTTTACGAAGTTGTAAGTTGAACGAGGGTGCCCACCAGTAGATGATGATGCAGTTGATGGATCTTCACTGGCCCATTGTTGATCGCTTGTACTATCAGTATTCATTTTTGAAAAATCATGTGTACCGGACATTACTGTTGAGGCTTGAGTTGGTTTCATGTTGTTCATAGATCTATAAAATAAAACAAAGAATGTTTTTTTCAAAGAGAAACAAAAAAAATACTACATACTGATCAGAACTTTTTTCTCCATAATATGAATCAATATCAGTTTGTGTTTGTACACCTTCATTACTGGAACTACCAGATGTTGATGGTAATTGATTTAAAGATGAACCAAAATAATCATCTGAAGGAGTTTGTTGTGAGCTGTGCTTATTGTATGATGAAGTTCGTTGAAATTCACCTGCACCATACATTAAACGATTCTTTCCAATGATTACTAGACAAATAAAAAGTCATTCAAATATTCATCAATAATTAAATAATATTTACTTGGACAAAATTCTGATTTTTCTGGAAGTTTATCACAATTAATTGCTGAAAGATCAACATTACTACATCGATTTTTTATAGCTATTCGAAAAAAAAAGAACAAATGAATTTATGCAAAATTACAATATATTAAAATAAATATTTTTACCTCTACAGAAGGTAGCACATGGAAGTATTGGTTCAACATTACATGGTGGAAAAAATAATGGACATAAAAATAAACGCATATATGAAAAACATCCAGAATATAATGTTGGTCTTAATGAAAGGAATAATTCATTTGCTTCTTGTTTTGTTTGATGACCAAAAAAGTTCGGTAATGAAAATGTTGTTTGTGGTAATACCGAGCAATATGTTGAGAATAATGGATAAACTGAATCAATAATATTATAACATACATCTTCTCTAACACCACGATTTCCACTAGTAGCAGCAACAGCAGATAGAGATGGAAAGAAACTATGTTGTTGTATAGCACCACTAGTTAAATTAATCAAGAAAAAGTCAGTTCAAAAAAAAATTTTTCTTTCAAATAGATTAAAACGCACTCAGTATCAGTAACTTTTGTCTGTTGTGTAATAGTCGGTTGAACGATTTGTTGAGCAGTATTAGCTTGTCCAAAATCAGCACTGTATTGTGGTACAATAGTTGATTGTTGTCCGAATCGTCCATAGGGTCCCATTCCTGAATAACCACCCCAACCACTCATAACTGGTTGTCCATAAGCGACTGGTTGTCCATAAGCAGCTGGTTGTCCATAAGCAGCTGGTTGTCCATAAGCGGCTGGTTGTCCATTAAAATTGATGCCCCATAGGCCGACTAAAAATAAAAAAATAATCAATAAATTTGACCTTAAAAATAAAGAATAGAGTTAAATATTACCAGGATTATATTGTCCAGTGACACCAATTGCCAATAGAAGACACAACAGCAGTTTCAACTGAACCTACATTATGAATATGATTTTAGATTTTGAAATTCGAAAAAAACAAAAAAAAAATTAATGTAATTCAACCTGTTTCATTTTGGGGTTCAATAGAAGACCGACGTCGATGTCGATAATACGCATAAAAATGATGATAAACAAATCGTCACTTCTCTCTTATTTTCTTCTTTCTATCTAATGCGCGCGTTTGCGTCCGATATAGATCGCGTTCGTGTGCAAAGTGAAGCTGAACAACGACAATAACACGACTTTTCTAGATTCGATTACAGGGAGGAGGGTAATGATATCACTCACTCTCTCTTTGAATCTATATAGAATTAGTAAAATTGACCTCGATCGCCTTTCTTTGATACATCTTTACATAATGATATATATATATATATATATATATATAGATAGATGGATAGAAAAAAGCATATGAACTAAATAATCCCTCGATTATAAGAAAAGAAGTGTATTTGTTTACAAATTGAATAGTCCGTCAATACAGAGAAAAAGAAAATGTTACTGTTATATACTTCGATTGCTATTGTTCGAATGAAATAAACTATGTGACTATTTAATTCAAGGTTATCTGACGTCATTATTATTTTCGAGAACAAAAAACAATGATCTAATTCTAAAGTATATTATTCTATACATATTTTCCAGTACAATTGCTTTATGATTATTTAATAAATAAATTTTTAATTCATCCGATTTATTGAATAAAAATAAATAAATCGATTCATAATAAAGAAAAATAAATAATCAATTATTAGTAATAACTTCAAAATAACAAAAAAGAGTCATATCGATTGAAACATATAATCTTTTAAAACCTTGTAGAAAAAGAAGAATCTCTATTTGATAATCATCATTTTGTTAAGCACGTATTGTTTTTCTGAGTCAAATAATATTGACAGAAACAAAGCAGTATGTTTTCGTGTTTTTAAGTCCGAGAGAAATTTAATCTTAAAAATACGTACATTTTATGACGAATAAAAAATTAAGTATAAAAATACTGATATCAAAAAGGAAAAAATAGTACATTTCGAAATCGATTTTTTTTCTTAAAAATATGTTATCATCTTTGTAAGTGATTTTTATTATGATGTAAACGTTTATTTTGTTGTTGTTTTTCTTCTTCTTAATAATATTTCAAGACCATTATTATTTATTATTAGCAATTTATTCATTAATTTTATTGTAGGACAAAGTTAGTATAAATAAATAAAACAAATCTTATTTAAAAAAAATAATAAGCGATTTATTTTATTATAAAGATGTTAATAATAGTAGATCTATAATTTCAAAAACATGTGGATGTTATAATCAAGGTATTTGTGATCCATATACAGGATCATGTATTTGTCCATCAGGTTATCTTGGTCGACAATGTGAACAATTAGAATGTACGATTCACAAAAATTGTTTTTTTTTAATTATTATTTCGTATCACTTTTGTAAACTTTAGCAACAACTTTATGTAATAATGTCGTATGCAAAAATTCTGGTGCATGCAATATAATCTCACCAACTGATTCAACTTGTTGGTGTTTGTTAGGTAAAAAAAAAAAAGAGGAAACAAAGCCAAAGTATTGTAGAGATTATTTGAGAGATGAATTTATTATAGGTTTTCATGGTGAATATTGTGAACGACAAAGAGGTTAGTTTGAAATATTTTAGAATATTATAAATAATCGATTCATTTATTTGAAAAAAATCTATAGCTGCTTCACGTTGTAATGAAATTCAATGTCAAAATGGTGCAATGTGTTATGAACATTCACCTGCAATGAGTGTTTTTGCTTATTGTCTTTGTCCACCAGGATTTACTGGAAGATTTTGTGAGACAGGTTATTATAATGAAGGAAATATGTTAACAATATTTTTGATTTTATATATTTTCTTTGTTTTAGAATATTTTCGTTGCTCACAAGTAGGTACTTTTGTTGATCAATATCAATGTGCTCAAGGTTCATATTTTCTTTGTGATTATACAAGTAAAAAGAAAAAAACATCATCTAATAAATTTCATTAAGATTTATTTCTGTTTCTTGTTTTCTTTTTTCTAGATCGTCTTATTGTTGGTACATGTCCAAAAGGACTTCGATTTAATTTGAATAAAATGTCTTGTGATCATGCCAGTTCTGTTACATGTCCTAATATTTAAAATAAAATAAAATAAAAAAAAATAAGAAAAAACGAAAGAAGGAGAAATGATATAAACAGGATTAAAATATTATTATCATTGAAAGTATATTTTTATTATCCTTGATAGTCTGAAATTTCAAATCGTTGTTGAAGGTGATATTTGTGTGTTGTTATATTGAAGTTAACAAGGAAAGAATATATTTGTTCATTTTGTCTACTATGATGTTATTGAAAAGAAATTTGTTCAACCTTGAATAATCATATCATATTTATGTGGGTGAATTACATACAATAATAAAAAATATCGTATATATATTTTTTTCAGTTAAATTCAGAAGGTAAAATTTGTTATACATAGCAGTTTGAAAAAAATTAACCAAAACGAAATGTTCTCAAAATTTTTAAACTATCATTTAATATGCGTATTTATTATATTAATGATTTGTCCATATATTCATGGAAGTATGTAAAAAAGATAGAAAAAGAAGAAAAAAAATAGAAAAATATCAATTTTATTTTATATTTAGAATGTTCATTGAATTGTGAAAATAGTGGTGGACGATGTCTTAAGACACAAATACCAACTATGCCAGAAATTTGTGTTTGTTCAAATGATACATATACGAATTCAACATGTACTGATGTAGAAAATAAAAATGAACATGAAATTAATATGACTTCAATGAATATTCACGGTCTGTTATTTAATGTTAAATGATGCTTTTTTTCTTCAAATGATTTGTTTCTAGCTCGTCGTTTAATTGCTGTTTGTGAACATTCATTTTGTGGTGATGATGGTATTTGTATTGTAATTGATTCAACATTTGGATGTATATGTGCTGATGGTAATATTGCAGATAGATGTATTTCAAATACAAATATAGGTGTTGGTATGTAAATAGATGAAAACAAAAAAACAGAAGAATTCTAATAACGAGTTTTTAAATTTAAGCTTCATATTGTGCTGTGGGATGTTTAAATGACGGTGTATGTAATCCAATATTAGGTACATGTACATGTCCAAGTGGTTTTTCGGGTACACGATGTGAAATAGCACGAAGTAAAATCGAAATTTTAAAGAAAATATAAAAAAAAAAAGAAATTTATATTTTAATAAGGTACTGATCTTTGTCGAGATATTGCCTGTCGTAATGGTGGCGTGTAAGTTCAAATAATTGGTTTTTGTTTTTTGAAAATAATTTTTATTATATTTTAGTTGTAATATTATAAGTCCAACTTATGCGACATGTTGGTGGTATGTATTTATAATATAGTTTCTATTTTCAAAAAACAAACTTCGATTTGAATAGTTTATTGGGTTTTCATGGTGATTATTGTGAACGACGATCAGGTATGTTTTTTTAATTTATATTATTGTTCTTTGAAAAAAAAAAAATAATAATAAAGAAAAAATAAATTTATTTATGAATTAAAGTTGCACCAAGATGTGCATCCAGTAGATGTTATAATGGAGGTACTTGCTATGAACATTCACCAGCATCATCAATATTTGCTTATTGTTTATGCAAGTAAGTTTATTTTGTTGTAGAAATTTAGTTTTATTCTTCTTATATTTAATTATTATTTATTTAGACCTGGTTTTACAGGTTCACGATGTGAAACTGGTAAGAAAATTTTATTTAAAAAAAAACAAAAATTCATATTTATTTGTTTTTAATTTTAATAGAATATTTTCGATGTCCAAATAATGGTTATTATGCTGATGCATTTGGTTGTGCACAGGGCAAATATTTTGAATGTGTTGAAAAAAGTTTGTTATTGATATTTATTAATGAAATTATTTATTGAATTTTGTTTTGTTTTGTTTTTTTTTAGCAATTATTGTTTCTCGTTCATGTCCACGAGGTCTTCGCTATAATTTCTTTCTTGGTCGTTGTGATTATGCTGTCAATGTAGCTTGTCCTGCTTTATAATAAACATAAAGACCATTTTTTTTTCTTTCATTGTTTCTTATCTTTCTTTGCTTTTGTCTTTAATTTAAATAAAAATTTTTTATTCCTAAACTATGCTTATTTACATACGGTATACCCATCACACAAATGAAGTGAAACAAATGATGAATTGAATTGACAAGTACAAAATGTATCTGTTTACAATAGAGACAATATATATATGTATATATATGGATGTATATATATATAAATAGGAAAGCACATTTAAAATTAAAACAAATAAAAACAAACTCGAACACAAATGTAATCATCTATTACAAAATTGAGTGTTCGTTATTTTTTTTCAACCGGTTGGTAAAAAAATTTTATTATCATTATTTTCTTTAGGATTTTTTTCGTTTGGTTTTGTTGAATTTTCATGAAGCTCATCAGATGATGTTATAGGACGTGAACGAATATATTCAGGACTTTTATTTGATTTAACAGCTTCTTCATCAACACGAACACCGACAATGTCCGATTCGGGAATATCAAACATGGGTTGAAGTAAAATACGTTCCTATGAAAAAATTAATGTTTTATATGATAGATAGATAGAAGAATTTTGAAAACTACGTACTAATATTGAACGAAGACCACGAGCTCCGGTTTTACGTCGAACAGCTCTTTTAGCTATTGATCGAAGTGCACCATCAGTAAAATCTAATTGAACCTAAATTTAAAATAAGGTAATCTTGTGTGAGTAATAAATCTTTATCAAAATGAGTCGCATCTCATTAGATGATAGATCTTATTGAGACTAGTGAAAGTCTTCGAGGATTCGTGTCTATGAGTTTTTCAAAAAACTACTCTGCTTTTCGTCAGATCAATACAACCTATCGAAATTCTAAAAGAGTTCGTGCCCATGGGTCTTTGGAGCCGAATTATGACCGTTTCACTGAATTTTTGATTCAGCTTTAAATATTTACTGAAAAATCAAATAAAGGAGTTTTGATCTGAAACTTTGCTCATAGATAGGACTCAGAGAAT